CTATTTGCAGCCCTAGAACTCTGACATTTTTCGTGCAATTTCTGTTTCCCATTTATCGCTTTTATCTTTGGCAGTGTTTTCACTGAGGACTCCAAGGCTGCAATTTTCCCTTCCTGGTCCTGCACAGAGATGGCCCATCAGAGCATCTCCGTCTGTAGGGGCTCCTGCTGGATATTTGTTTCTTTGGACACTGTGCACTGAGACTCGTCTTACAGCACGCAGAAGTGTATTCTGCATCGAATTACAAGGCAGATGGCTTGCAGAGGTTATTTTACCAGCAGTCCTCAGAAGTGTCAGGGATGAGTGGGAAGGAGACGGTGTCCTGTCCAACAAAACACTGAGACTGCAAGTTCTGCCCCATTCTGTGCAGCAACCGTCTTCACAAACCTCTGTCTGTAAAGCTGTTTCGAAAGAGAGAAAGACATATTAACCCTAAAATAATCCACTGGTCAAGATGATCTCTGGGGATTTAGAATCACATTCCTAATCTGCCTAAATTTGTCTGCCTGGCTTGCTCTCTTCAGAAATTCTGTTCTGGATCTAAGATGTCTCTTCCAGCAAAAAACCCCGCTTGAAACTGGTAAGAGACTGATGGAGAAGACTTGGGTTTAATAAACCAGCATTTTCCTGGTACACTAATCAATTCTTTGTTTGGGCTTTGCCCCCCTGGGTCTGGATATTGTCCTTCTCGAAGGGAAGGAAGCCTCTTTCTTCCCCTCTGCAATTTTTGTCCAGAGTTACTACGGTCACCCTGCTTTCGGGGATAAACAGCAAATTTAAGGCCACCCGCTGCTTCCCTTTGCCTTGCCCTCCACCTGCCTCGGGGCTGCACTGATCCGACATTATGCAGCAGGAGAACACGCATCATCGTGTGATTTAGCTCCGTTGCCGTCACTACGGCCTGCAGACAGCAGGAAAAGGGCGACAGAACAGAACAGCCATTTCTTCTCAGCTGTCTCGCTAGCCTGCCCGCAACGGGCAGACGAGCGGCTTCCAGGCAAAGAGTGGCTAGGACTCCTTGTGAGAGCCTGCAGGAAAAAGTAGGAAACAGGTCTGACCTTCTGATTGCTCCGTTTTGTAGCTCCTAAGCAAGGCTGGAGAAGAACCGTCACAACCCTACCGCTTTTTCTATCCTGGGGCCACAAAGGGAGAGAAGGGGCCTCCCCGCCAGCCCACCGACCTCCTCGGCAATATCCCCGAGCGACTCCTCATTCCTGGCGCAGGCAATAGCGGGAGCAGACCGCCGCCCAGCTGCTGACCTCCGGCGAACGGGAAGCTTGCTCGTCTTCAGCAACGCCGAGGGCAAGCGGAGGCCGGACTGCGTGCATGCCTGTGCCTGTCCTCTCGGGAGGTCACTGTGTGCATTTCTTCCTCACGTAGCCGTAGCTGAGTCAGTTTAGTCTTTTACATACCTCAACCGAAGAGTAATTGTGAAAAAAATTGAAAGATGGTCACGGAAAGTTGGGAAAAATATCAGAAAGAATGTTTTCTCTACCTTAATAATTGCCCCAAAATAGAGAAGAAAATTAAAAATAAATCTCTTGTCTTCTTGACTTGATACGACCAAAGAAAATAAAAGCAAAACCAAGAAAACCACCAAGAACCAAGCCAAAGCAAATCTTGCACCAGCAGTAGCAAAACAACAGTCGTGCGGAACTGTTCCAAAACGGGGAGCTGACACTGTTGGAAGTACGAAGCCGGGCGGCGGCGTTCCGCCCCTCGCACCACCCAGGCTGGCCAGCCTTTCGGGGCGCTCTGTGGGCCCCCTCTGAAGCACCCCTTTTTTAGAGAACTTACAAAAACTGTTTGAAGGTATGGGAGTGGGCGAGAACAAGTTATCCTGACAAAGCAAGGCTGTCTGCGTTACAATTCATACTACGGGACCCTTGTTAGCCACCTGCCCACGCTAGACACAGGAGGCACATTTTTAACATCTGCACAGGTAAATTATTTGTATGATTATTTGTTTTTCACCTTGATTTTTGGCTGCCTGCTTCCAGAAACTTTAAAACCAGCACAGGCATGTATAGGATAAGTCCGGCCAGCGGTGTGCTCTGGTGACTCTTCCCGTCACCCCCTTAACTCTGCTCCCGCGCTCTGCCCCTGCCTGCGTGCTGCGGCCGGCAGGTGATGCTAAAATGCCTCGGAGGGAAGGCAGGCTTTAAACCAACGGATAAATTAAGTTTCTCTGTCCCTGAAGACCTGTGCTTTAGTCTGAAGCATCACACGCTTGTGCACATGCACGTACCCAAAGTCAGTATAGGAGGTAACAGGAGAAATATTTCAGGGGTCAGCTTTATATAGATACATAAATAAGTAGGTTGCTATTAACTGTCTGTCATAAGGTGAAACAGCAGGATACTGAGAAGAAAGAGTGAAATTAGAGGTGAACTGTAGGAAACTATATTTGGGAGAAGACTAGAACATCTCTGCACGAGCGATCTTCTTCCCTGTAAGAAAATACTTAGTTGTGCTGAGCTCCGAGAGAAGAGTTGGGACTGTTACCAGAAGCGAGGGCTTTTGGAGGAATCATAACCGAAAGGAAAAAAGGGATGTAAATGCAGAGGTGAAATTGTTCTGTGCAGAATACGCATCATTCTCGAAATCATGATTAGTAATTCATCCAAGGGAGCAAGCAGGGATTTGCGAGCGCGCTAACTTGGATGAACAGATCATTTCAGAAGCAATAACTTTAAAGAGAAATTATGAAGAGGAGATACCGCTGCCCCCAGAAATGAAGCTGTTGCCCAAACCGGTAAGGCACAGAAAAGAGAGCAGCGTGTCACTTCATGGCATAAAGTCACGGTCACGTGTATCCCACAACAGCCAAAACGACCAAAGTTGTAGCTCATACAACCTGACGTTTGGAGTAGCTGGAGCAGGAAAATTAAATCCAACACTGCAGTAACATTCAATTATGACAACAACGGACCATGTTCATCAACCATCATATACAAAAACTTCTCCCAGCTGTTAAGGACTTACCATACTTTCATGTGACTTATTCCTTACCTGTAGAAGTCAAGATCTCTATCAGCTGAGTAACAATAACTCACCAAGCAACCTCAGTTTTTATTTATTGTGCACTGCGAATGTAGTCAGGATTGGCTACAGCAACGCCTCCCCAGCAGTCCCGCAAAGCTCTGCAGAAATCCTCGGCCACAATTGCAAACTCCACTGACCAAAGCCAGATACACCAAAACCTCAGCGTTCCCTTTCAAGGTCTCTCACTCCTCCCCTACCTTGCCTGAAGTACCGATGTTGTCCAGCCTGCTTTCCTTAATTTAGAGATTGGTGGTTTTGCCTTTACTAGTATTAGTAACACAGTGTTTCTCATTCACATTTCACATTTTTGATTTGTACATCAGTTCAAACAGGACTTGATTTGCGTTTCCTGTCCCTTCAAACAGGTTATTCAGATCAGTATAACTCCGAGTCCTCGGGCGCCTGCCTGAATTCCATCCCGTTCCGCCCTCTCTTCCTCGCTTCTCTTCCAGACTTACTTTTCCTGAAGAAAATACTGACGGACCCACTTAAAGCGTTTTTCAGGCAATCGCAGAAAAACTGATGCTGGTCTGAAGTGTTATAGTTTGTCTATATTTGCTCTCTCTTCATGCAGCTCAGCAATTTGTTCCTACCTCTTAACCCTCCTAGTAATTTACATTTTCTCAGATATCCGTGCAGTAAGTGCATTTTAAGAAAATACCTGGCAGTACAGAAAGATTTTGGAAGAGGCCAGTATTTTGAAAGCTTAGACAAAACCCCAGGCCTCCCAGGAGATCTGAAGAACAGATACGGTACACAGTAGAACATTTGGATGCCCTAACCCATACCAGGAGCCTACATGCTAGAAAAACTTTTAAAATTATCTGAGGCAATAATGGGTTTCAAGGGAGGGGACAACCTTAGAACAGCTCTTAAGAGACCTCTGTGATGTATTAAACTGTCTGGAAACTGTCTGGATTGTCTCAAGTGCTGCACAGGGAAACCTAACCATTTCAAGTTCCAAAACAGCTGCAGTTATTACAAGACAAGGCTGCTTGAAAAACTGTGTATGCTGCAGGTTTAGATTCCAGAAGATAACGACACACTTCACAAACTGCCTTGAAAGGTGACAATAAGATACTTGAGAAGCTGCCATGACTTGTCAACTAGTCTGTAGGAAAAAAAAAAAAGAAAAAAAAAAGGAAATACACCCATCGGTTTCAAACCCATATACATACCACATAGCTCCATCCCACTTCCATTAATCTGATTTTTAAACAGCAGTTGTAAATAGATCACAAAAACCTCTTTTCATGTCACTACACTGAAATTCTTGAGCACCTATTATATTCGTATTTCAATAATAGCCAAGTGATTCATGCTTCTCAAACTAAGCATTCCCATTTGTGTAATAACTGTTGATGACTGAGCAGTGACTACACATACAGCCGGTGATCACAAACCCAGGGATATTAAGAATATTCAACTTTGTGTTTTTTAAAATTTAAATCAAGAGTCACACTACAACTCACTGCATTAGTCAAGAACAAACACTTACCACACTCACCCTTTTCCTGTTTTGAACATAAAACATGGAAGATTTATCTGAAATCGGCATTTCCTAGCGACTGCGTGTGGGGAGGGGCACAAGAACAAACTGCCCACAGCATCTGAACAGAGCTGTGGTTGGGGCTAGGCAGAGCCTGAGAGCGGTGTGGTTCACCTGGGAGGGGCTGAAGCCTTTTTAACCCGCCAACTTTTAGGAGGTTAACAATGACAAGTTACCTTAACCAAAGATATTTTTATTGGGTTCAATATTTAAGCATCAGTAGATTAGATTAAGGTCTTTTAGAAAAGTAAACCGGTAAGAATGAAAAACCCCAACCTTATGAATGGCAATTGGTACATGAAGTTTACCTTTAAATAAAATTTTATCAGGCTTGTGGAAACATGCCAAAAGCCAAATTGTGTTACGAGTCTAAAATTACCAAACAAGATACGAACAAAATACTCCATTTTCAAAAAAAGCAAATATAGGTTTAATGCTAGTCATCCAAAATTGACATTAGTCTCTTAATATAAGGCAAAAATAGTAATTTTCTTTTATTTTTTAACCTACATTAAGTACAATCAGCAATAGTTGCCGTTTAGGATATGCATCATCAAGATCTAAAAGCAAGATCAGCAGAGAATGCTGACTCATGCATTATAAGATCTTCTCAACATACTGACAATTCCATAGCAATCTCTGAAAACGTATCTGGGTTAGGGACTGGGTTAATGCTGCAGAGTGGTTTTGTTAAATGTGTGTATAATTTAATTCTCATGCGCCACAATCACATTTCCGTGTTATAGCCATGGAGCACAAATAACACTTCTTGCAGATCTATGGGTGTGTCAATATACATTAACCTATAGAAAATGCCATAAAATACTCTATGCAATCTTTAAGCATCCATCTTCAATGTAATTGTATTTACATATTTTTATGAACTTGTCATATGTAATAAGCCACTGAAGACATTTTTACAATATTTATTAGATTATGAATTTATAAATTCAAGGACTCAGAGGCACATAGTTTAAAAGGCCAAGAACACCAAAACTAATGAAGTCACAGAAATCAGAATATTTATGGACGTAACACCAGTAAAAAATAAAAATCACATCCAAACTAAAAGCAACGCTTCTTAAGAGTCATCCTTCAAAGTTACATAATAAAAAGTTCTCATTTCCCTCAAAGAAAAATAATTCATCCCACCTACCAAGCTAGAAAACCCTATTTACAGTTGTACTTTGATCAGAAGTATCATTAGGTTGTGGAATACAGCCACTTCTACTCTGCCATTAGAATTTAACATTTCTTTTAAAGTATCGTTGTATTTACAAATGCATAAATATCGTAACTCTGATCTTCATTAAGATCTGAATGAAAACAGGTTGTTAAGTCACAATACAAACGTGTTAGTGGAAAAAGTAGCTGCATATTCAGTATCATTCTCAAAGAATAGGAAGCCAATACTTCTGATAAAGCTCAAGTTCATCAATTAGACCAGGTCTTTAAGTTATGTTAATGAAGATTAAACCTCTTCTGTGTTAATTCTTTACATTGGTTTCTTCAGTCAACTTTCACCACGCTGTAGATTTTGGTTACAAACCAAAAGCATGCAAAGAATCCAATTGTCCCTAAAAAACCAAACAAACAAAACAAAAAAGCAAAAAAAGAAGTTACACATTAGGAAAACTGACACAGGAGACATTCATTTCTACCTGTAGTTCATAAATCGGGACATACGTATATGCAGTCTGCTATCTTTAGTCTTCAGTACATCCATCAGATCAGATAATGGAAAGTGACAGACAGTACCTGGTCTTTCTAGGCATCAGCTACTATAGAGTATCTAATTATTTTCACAATCATAGAGCTGATCACGGGGAAGACTCTCATTTTAAGATGTTTCTGTGTTATTTCCCTTCCTACATATTTGTTCTTTGTTGTTTCATTATTCCCACGTCCAACTCCTTCACATTGCCCCGCTTCACCCTTCTCCAGGGACTAGTCACACACACTTTACCTCATCTGCTCAGCTGGTCAGAGTATTGTTATTATATTTAATAAACCAATTACATTGACAGCCTCAAAAGGAGTGTTCCCATTTCTTAGTTACACTTTAAGGTCTTGGAAAATTAGAGCACTACCTTTATTTCTGTGTAAATCAAGTTAATACAAACTTCAAACCATAGCGTAGTTGCTACACAACTTGTACTTCCTATTGGAAACACGTTACATGCTTTAAAAATAAACACTTCTGAAATACTTAAGGCCATCAAAAAGTATAAGCAAACTTGAACTGAAACTGAAGGACAAGGACTGTTTCCCTGATAACTTACAATCCTTTTAGCTGAACAAGAATAGCTGCATCACTTCTCTTTGTGAAAGTCCAACAGAAGGTTTTAACAAAAATGTTCTTCTGAATGCAAAGTACTTAATATAGTTGGGCTTTGTTAATTTAACTGGATTACTTCAAAATGCAGCCTCAATCACAAAGATAATGGACTAAAGAGCAGCTCAGAACACCTGTAACAAGAACCTTAATTTCCCACAAAAACTAGGACAGAAAAAAAGCCCTGAAGATTATCCAATTTTTGCCTGAGTACCTCTTCTAAAATCATAGCCTTAACTTACGCAAGAGCCAAGTAAGTTCTTTAAAGAAAAAAAAAAAAAATCACCTTTATTTTAGATCTGATAAGAGGCACAACAAAAGCTGTGTGCTAACTCATTCACTATACAAGCTTGGAAGGAACCATGAATGATATCAGGGTAATTTTTTTCTTCCCTTCACGCTTGCTAAACTACTGATGTTTAACCGACTCATTTACTATGATACGTAGTTGTGGTCCCAGCTGCGAATCAAAGATTTGTCATGTAGCTCCCGGTATTTTGCCTGCTGAGTCTGATCAATGACCTGGAATGCAGTACGGATGCAAGTGCCTGAAGCATGTGTTACACTGACATAGCAGCAGGGCACCGTCAAAACCCTTCCTGATACTGACGATTTTTAACAGATGAGTAAGCAGCGGCAGAATAGTTTTGATACAACGATTATGATTTTATCTTTTTAGCTTCTTTATCATCCTGACACAGGAAGTCAACTGCCTTTAGGAGCTGTTTTTGCTAAATTGCTAGTATGCTTTTTCGTTTAAGAAACTGAAGAACTGCCTGTCCCTTTACCCTGCCTCTAACTTTTTCTGTAAAACCTCATCTCAAAGCACTTCAGTAAATCTCAGAGAACTGAACGCATCCACCTTTGAATGTCTATGAACCTAAATGAACAAAATTATTCTTAAATTTTAAGAAATAGAACTATTGCCTCAAATTATAGGATAATTTGCACTTAATCTCATGGGAAGTAGATAAAAGAAATCATTAAGCATATGCTGTTTCAAAGTTCTAACCGCTTGGTTAACTTCACACGTATTCTCCCCTAATTTCAATACAGAAACTGAAAATTTCAAAAAAACGAAGGCATACAAACTCCGAAAGCTTAGTTCAAGTTGCACAGCATAACTCACATCTCCACTGTCCCAATTACATACAAATGACTACCTCAGAAAGCATCTCAAGGGGTCTAACAGTAAACTACCTCTTCTTTCCATGCTTGTGAACCTATCCTGAAAAGGACTCCCCAGATTTTCTGGCAGGTGCTGCACAGCCAACTGGTCAATTGAAAGTGAACGCGTGAGCAAGGAAAAGGGAGATGCACTGGACACGTCTTAATGCCTCTAGACGATGTTATGTGACATGACTGACTTGAAAGAATAAGGGCAAAAGAGGGAAATTACATGGGTACCTTAGGTGCCGAAAGGCAGCTAAGCCAAGTCTCAGCACAGAAAATTTACTGTAAATCCCCTTTATTTTGAATGTGTGCACTCCAGAATTACTGCGTGCATCCAAAGGAAACAGACTGAATAAAGGAGACAGGGTATACACAATTCTGGTTTTGGCGAAGACTGTTTACAATTAAAGGCAGACATGCTGGATATCTATTGGAAAAGCTAGTGACACTAAATTAATTGACCTTACACTTACGTAAGGCCTAATTATTTTTCATGCTACTTTCTGAGTTTGCACTGCATTTGAAATTGATCTACATACAGCAGTACACATTCATTTCTAGTTGAACAACCATGCATTCTTAAATTCTTTAGTTCAATGAGACTATCAGTAAACCCAGATCACAAATAAAGGTTAAGAGAAAGGCAGGGCAAGAAATAAGATGGAGCAAGAACAGGAGGCAGAATCTCTGATCTACACATTCAGAATGACTTGCTAACCGGTTCACAAAATATAAATAAAAGTAGAGGTGATGTGTAACTTACAAAACATCCGCAAGCAATGCCAAAACACATTAGACTGACTTAAGAAGGATGGAAGATAAAACTAACCACTTTTGGAACACAGCTTGATCACTTTTCAAAGAGATTATATAATGTCCTTAAGTCCCATTCCCTCCTTTTAAGAAGCAATGACCCAAAAAACTCCTTGCAGGCTCTTGCTGCTGTTCATCATCATCTGCATTCAGTTGTGGTGCACAAACTGCTTCAATATTTCCTAAGCTGAAGTGGCAATGTCTTTGAAATTAGTACTTGGTTACGCTTAAAAGGAACACCGTTCTCAAATGTCAGTTCTTTTCCCACTTGATTTTTTTGGTTCTCCTACGTTAAGTGGAAATGAAAATTCTACTTATAGTGAGATCTGTATTAAAAGCTCTGATGACAAGCCATTTGTGTTCTAGCAGGCCTCAAAATACAGCCTTTATAGCTGCATACACAAATCCACATCAAAGCCTTAGGAATCATTAAACTTCTTCATAAACTTGGAGCTTGAAATCATTTAAAGCATTGATAAGTTCAAAATACTTTCCAAAATATTGCTCTGTAGGGTAAAGTCCACAAAGACTTGTGGATGAGGGGAAGGCTGTGGATGTTGTCTACCTGGACTTTAGTAAGGCCTTTGACACTGTCTCCCACAGCATTCTCCTGGAGAAGCTGGCTGCTCACGGCTTGGATAAGTGCACTCTGCGCTGGGTTAAAAACTGGCTGGACGGCCAAGCCCAGAGAGTGGTGGTGAATGGAGTCTAATCCAGTTGGCGGCCAGTCACAAGTGGTGTTCCCCAGGGCTCAGTGTTGGGGCTGGTCCTGTTCAACATCTTCACTGATGATCTGGATGAGGGGATTGAGTGCACCCTCAGGAAGTTTGCAGATGACACCACGTTGGGTGGAAGTGTCGATCTGCTGGAGGGTAGGAAGGCCCTGCAGAGGGACCTGGACAGGCTGGATCATTGGGCTGGGG